CCAGCCTTGGATGCAAAAGTCGATAGCCGAGTCCGAGGCCAGAATGGAGCAAAGGATGGAGGGCATGATGGACCGAAAGATCCAGGCCGTTAATAAGCATCTTAATGCCTTTGAATTGAGAGTCCTTGAGTGACCAACCCCGACCATAGATCTATCCTCTTTTCAGTCCGAGTTAGCCAGTCTCCGGATCAACGTTGATGCCATTCTTGCCACCCCTACAGTTGAGGCTCATATTGCACCTACTACGTTGGCTGATGATACGGTGTTGGATGCTTTATTCAATGGGATTGCCGAGGAGGGGCCTGAGCCTACACATACCAAAGGCAAGAGGCATCGTTCTAGTCGCACCGAGGAGGAAAATCTCAAAAAAGACAGCATAGGCAGAAGAAGGAGGCTAGGAAGGCTTCAATTTTAGATTAAGAGTTGTGCCAACAGAGGGTGCGTGAGAGTATTACAGGGGCATCGAGTTCTGCCCCAATTGTAAAGGTCCCGCCTATCGTGAGGGACGTTCTAAGCACCACAGATGGTGCGGTTAGAGTGACCGAGAGCACTACTGAGGGTGATATGATGGTTGATGTGGGCACTACTGAGGGTGACCTAAGTATGGTTCCAGCGGGCTCTCGGAAACCGGACCCACCCGCTTGTTGATGATTCTTCGACGCAATGCGCGACAGGTTTGCTTCACCCAATCCATTCTCTTTTACTATTTTTGTATGCATTGGGGACAATCACATCTATTTTATTTTGTTGGGGGTGGGATAAATGGATTGTGAGTGGTAGGGTGAAGTCTGAATAACCCAACTCATACATCCTCTCTTTGGGGTTTTCTTGCCTGTGTTCTTTTTCCCCAACAGATTGTTTAATTTCTGTTGAACTGACATGTTTTAGGATCATATGTGTAGAAGCATGAAAAAGAATGAAGCATGATGGCCTATGAAAAATATACCCGTCCAAATTTGCTTCTGTGTGCTAGAATCGGTAGGCTAAGACAAGTTAAAGGTGTTGACTCTGAGTATGACATGACAATGAATCAACTTGATGGTATGACTTAAGCTGAAACTTGAACTGGGTAATCTGATAATCTGATAATGAAACTATGTGCAAAGAGTGTGTGAGAATAGTTGATTGTTCAAACAGTTTTTGTGCAAAACTAGAACTTGCCCGGTTAGTCCTGCTAAGACAATTCAATCTAGAGGTTAGGAAGTGATCATAGGACATTGTTCTGATAAGTCCACAAATTTCCTAAAAGAAAGATCCAACCAAATAAAATAAATGCTCCTTTTGATCCAAATGCTTTGAGCCTAAAATTAGACCATTTCTTTCTAATCCCCGAACTCACCTTCCCATATCAGTTATACCATTCAATTAGTTAAATGATTAGAAAACTGGAAATATTTAATTTAATACAGAAAAGTAACTAAGTGCTTTGAAAACAGAAAATAATATACGGTTTAGATAAATGAAGTTTTATGGTTGTTGGGAAATGGGATTGAGCCATTGAAGAGACATAATTCATAGTAATTGATAAATAAAAAATAAACTTTTGAGTTGGATTAATAATTAATTAATATATATAATTTATAATATTTTTATATAGAGTAGGGGTAAAATGGTAATCCAACTTGGCACTTTGGATCTTTCCGCTTTTAGTAATATATGATATGATGATTGTAATAGTGATGATGAAAATTATTATGATATCAAAGGTTAAAATTGGAGAATATTGTGGAGTTAGGCTTAAGTTGAGCTCTATGTGAGTTCTTAACATAGTAAAAGCTAAAGTAGAAGGTAGTTATCCTTGGCAAAGTAATTATCACATTTAAAGTATAGAAGAAAGTTATTTGAACAACCTAAACTATATTGGTACATATGTTAAATAGAACTCCTCCTTAGGGTACAACTCTTCGCAGGACTTGAGGAATGATCCTGTAAGTTGTAGAGGAACTAGTTAGGCAGAAGTTAACATTAGATCATACATGTATATTTTTTAGTTTGCCTACATATAGGATTTTTCATGATTCTTGTGTCATAGTTCACTAGCTTACATGCTAAGTTTCATATAGCTCATTTATTCACAGGCTACATGTCTTACATCAAATCTGCTTTTTATCACTGGTTTTCTTAGCTAGCCCATAATAGGGTCGCCCCTATCTTGTGGATTAATTATTTCAATGATAATTATGTCATAAGTTAGTTATATTATAAAAATGTGTGCTACCTGAGATCATATGCATGTTCTGCGTGAATAATTATATGTTAACTACTGATCTACATATTAGATATGTTCAAAATTATGAATACCGACTAAGATGACCCCACTGAATGTTCTGCAGCTTGAGAAGGCATTCGATACCAATGAGTAAGGTTACCTAAATATAATATGAGTATTGTGGTACATTTTCTTGTAGGGTTATATGCTCTACATGCTTCATGACGTAAGAATATACATGTTCTTGTTTCCATATATTCACTAGCTTAACTTCTAAGAGGCATTTAGGGGTAAATGATTTGTGCATTATTTGTACCACAAATACATTATAGTTTACATTCTAATTTCATGTTCAACTTCTAAGTTCAAGTTAAAGTTATAATTTCAAGTTCAAGTTCTAAGTTCAAGTTCAAATTCTACGTTCAAGTTCAAGTTCTAAGTTTAAGTTCAAATTCTAAATTCAAGTTCAAGTTCTAATTTCAAGTTCAAGTTCTAAGTTCTAGTTCAAGTTCAAATTCTAAGTTCAAGTTCAAGTTCTAAGTTCATGACATTCAAACATTCATCATCTAAATTAATGACATTCAAACATTCATCATCTACTCACAGCATTTCAATTACTAATTTGTAACTTCAAATTATTAACACTTTACTAACTAGACCTAAAATCAAATCCAAAAAAATCCCAATTCAACCTCAAATTACATATTCTCAAGTTTAAACTAGTCCTAAAATACAAAAATGTTAATTTTTCACTAACTATCAATGACCAAATTAAAAATGTCAATTTTTTTAAAAAAAAATCTTCAATTATCTATACCTAACTAACAATAATAAAATCAAATTAACAATTGAATAACACAACCCAACAAACAAAAATAATAATATACTAAAAAACAATCAATTATAATCACCAGAATTAAAGCTAAGTATCAATATTAGATGGACACAAACACATTATTGAAAACAATTGTACTTGAACTTTAGAAATTTAGAAGCACCAACCTTATCTCCTACTTTGATGAAAGGAGCAATATAGTCTTGTACCAACTCTTTTAGATGTTGAGCTTCCTTAGTTGCCTAGCACGAAAAGTTCTAAAATTAGTTAAATATAAACTTCAAATCCAAGAATATTAGTTTTATATATATATATATATATATTCAAGGTTTAATAAGTTCAAGTTTTCAATTCAAGTTCATATTTAATGTCTAAACTTAATTAGTTATATATTCAAGCTAATTAGTTCCAAGTTCAACTTCTAATTTCAAGTTCAAGTCTAAGTTCAACTTCAAATTCTATATTCATGTTCTACGTTCAAGTTCTAAGTTCAAGTTCAAATTCTAATTTCAAGTTCAAGTTCAAATTCCAAGTTCAAGTTCTAATTTGAAGTTCAAGTTCTAAGATCAAGTTCAAATTTTAATTTTAAGTTCAAGTTCAAATTCTACGTTCAAGTTCTAATTTCAACTTCAAGTTCAAAGTTTAAGTTCAAATTCTAAGTTCAAGTTCAAGTTCAAATTCAAATTCTAAGTTCAAATTCTAATTT